CTGTGCAGGTTTCAGCCAAAATCAGGCAAGGGTTGGGCTGGGGCAGGAAAGTAGTAAATACTGAAAATTGGAGTCCCGAGGGGCTTTACTTTATTCTCCTGACAGATTTAGTCTGGGGTTGAGACAAGTAAGTTCCCTTCATTTAAAATTTGTGAAGAGGGATTCCTACTGCTGCTTTTAAAAAATCAAACAAACAAAAATCCTTGATTCTGGAACCAGAAGAAAAAAGAAACCTTTCTCAAACTCTAGGCCTCGGGCATTTCAGTCTTATGCAGGCATCCTTTTCCTTTTTGTGTCCTTTTTTCCCTTCTTTGCTTTTACCCCTTCCCTCTCCCTCTTTTTTCTGTTTCTCCCCTCCCTTTTTTAACAAAGGTTTTCATTCATTTATTTATTTTTTAAGTATTTTATTTATTTATTTTTAGATAAGGGAAAGGAGGGAGAGGAGAAAGAGAAACATCAATGTGTGGTTGCCTCTTGGTGCGCCCCTCACTGGGGACCTGGCCTGCAACCCAGGCATGTGCCCTGGCTGGGAATCGAACTGGTAACCCTTTGGTACACAGGCTGGTGCTCAGTACACTGAGCGACACCAGCCAGGGCTAGATTTTTATTTATTTTTAGAGAGAGGAGAAGGGAGGAAGAAAAAAAGGGAGAAAAACATTGATTGGTTGCCTCTCACACATCCCCAGCTGGGGACTTGGCTTGCAACCCAGGCATGTGCCCTGATTGGGAATTGAACCAGCAGCCTTTTAGTTTGCAGGCCAGTGGTCAATCCACTGAGCCACGCCAGTCAGGGCCCAACTTTCTTTTTTGTCATTTTCTCTCCTTGCCTCTTCCTTAACTCCTGAAAGGAAGAATGTGAGAAAAGGGCATCTTTAGCCAACAGATTAGTAGATATTGATATTATAGGTACTTTGGCTGAGAGTCAGAGCATGGAACTTGAGATTTTGGACTTCACTTTGAGACCTCAGAATAAAGATTGATGGGACAGGTGTTTATTCATTCACTTACATGTTCCCCCAAATAATTAGTGTCGCATATCTGCCAGATACTTGGACTATTCCAGTTAGTAAGACCCTGAGCCTGCCATAAGATCACAGTCTTATGGGGAAGACAGTGTAGCAGTAAACTTCCTTTTCCCCTTTCTACCTCCCCCCTTTCAAATCATTGGATTTTGAGGTAAAAAAGACATCAGTTTAATATGGTCCTCCTTGCCCTGGCTGGTGTAGCTCAGTGGATTGAGTGCAGGCCTGCGAACCAGAGGATCGCAGTTCCATTCACCGTCAGGGCACATGCCTGGGCTGCAGGCCAGTTCCCAGCAGGGGATGCATGAGAGGCAACCATACGTTGATATTTCTCTTCCTCTCTCCTTCCTTTTCTCTCTAAAGATAAATACATTTAAAAATCTTTATAAAAAATATGGTCCTCCTTTCATGTTGTTACATAATGAAGTAAGTAAGGAGCAAGCACATAGGCTTTCCAGTAAAGTAAGGCAGACCTTTTCAAATCCTGGTTCTCCTGTTTATTAGCCGTTAGACCTTAAATGGTATACTTAGCCTTGCCCATCTTCAGTTACCTTTGCTATAAAATGGGCCTGTCATAACCTGCTTCACAGATGATTATGAGGCTTAATAGCATAACACTTAGTTCAGTCTCTCGTACAGAGTAGCCCGAGCCTTTCTGTCACCCTGCATCAAGACCTGGCTTAAGTCATCACTCTTCTGAGTGATGCTTCTGAGCATCACCTCCAGGTAGACATGCCTTTTTCCACTTGTATAAGTCGTAGCACTCTGAACTGTTAGATCTGACTAGTCTTATAGTAGTCCTGTGCAAGGTTGACACAGTCTCACCCTGAACTACAAAGAGCCTGAGAATAGGACTGTTCTCATTCATCTCTGCATCCTCTGTAACCCCTAACGCAGAGCTGTGACCATGGCCAAGTACTAGGCCCAGGAAATATTTTTTGGTTGATTGGATAGAATGCTTCTATATATATGCAGTGTTTTGCAGCTGACAGAGCTGATAAAGATCTGTCTGGAATCTTCCATCTTAACTCTATTATCACATTGATTATCACAAATTCTCTCTGTTATAGGCCAGATGGGAATTATATCCCCATTTTGTAGTTGAGGAATCTGAGGCTCAGATTAGAGCCCAGCTCCCTTGTTAGGAGATAATCTCCACTGTAAGATAACAGTAACAGGAACTGACCTGTGCCCTGACCTGTGTGGCTTGCTTGGTTGGGCATCATCCTGCAAAGCAAAAAGTTGCCAGTTTGATTCCTGGTCGGGGCACATGCCTAGGTTGCAGGTTTGGTCCCTGGCCGGAGCATGTAGGAGAGGCAGCCAGTCGATGTTTCTCACATTGATGTTGTTCTTCCTCTTTCTCCCTCCTTTCCCCACCCTCTTAAAAAAAAAAGTAACAGGAATGAGAACAGAATTCCTAATTGACCGTGTCTCCATTCTCTGGAAGCAGTATGAATCTTTTGGTTTTTATTTTTTATTTTTTATCTTTTATTTTTTTAATTCTCACCTGAGGCCATGTTTATTGATTTTAGAGAGATGGGAAGGGGGAAAAAAACATCAATCAGTTGCCTCTCGCTTGCACGCTGACTGGGAACCAACTCAGCAACCTAGTATGTGCCCTGACCAGGAATCAAACACTAGACCTTTTGGTTAATGGGAGGACACTCCAACCAACTGAGCCACACCCGCCGGGGGCAGCAGTATGAATCTTTCCAAGCAAGAAGGCACAGGGAGACTGACAAAGAGCCATGAGAAAAAGGTCTTAGGATAACTTCAATGATTTGCTAGGCTTTGAAGATTAAGGGTTTGAGTATGTACAAAGTACATACAATATTCCTGAAGACAAGCATTCCAGGTGAGACAGTAGCATGGACGAAAGTATGTGAGCCAGAAATCCCATGGTAGACATAAGGCAGGTGATGACTACATCATGGCATACCTAGGGAGTGAGGCGGAGGTGATTGGGAGCCATGACATTTTTTTTCAGCAGGGGAGTGTCATTAGAGGCATTATTCTGGCAGCGTGGGCCCAATGCATTGGGGCAGGAGGGGTGAGGGAGACTGGTGGAAGAGAAACCAGGGAAGAGGCTACTGTAATAGTCTTTGTAATGTCAGTACATTTAAAAAATATTCCAGCTGTGCAGGCAAGAGATAATGAGATCCTGAACCAAGAGGAAGTAGACACAGTAGGGAATAATGAAGAACAGTGTGGATATAGAGCTCATAGAGCAAAAAACAAAACATAAAAACCCAGAACACAAGGACTTCGCAATTTTAGGAATGGGAAATGAGGGAAGGAGGGGTCAGAGAGCATACATTTGGAGTCGAAATACTTGGGAGAATAGTTCTATCATTTGCTGAACCATGGAGGCTGGAAATAGGAGACGGGTTCAATTTATTGATGTGTTGAATTGGAGGTGCTGATATTCCATGCCCTTTACCACCTGTTTAAGGCTTCTGCCTTTGTTCTTTTTTTAAGAAAAGATTTTATTTATTTTTAGAGAGAGGGTACGGGAAGGAGAAATAGTGGGAGAGAAACATCAATGTGTGGTTGCTTGTCATGTGTCCCCTACCAGGGACCCGGCCTGCAACCCAGGCATGTGCCCTGACCGGGAACCGAACTGGCGACCTTCTGCTTCACAGGCCCATGCTCAATCCACTGAGCTACACCAGCCAGGGCTGCCTTTGTTCTTTGTTCCAGACCTACAGTCCTTCAGTTCAGTGTGTCTGCTGCTTTGTTTCAGGCCTGGAGCCCCCCACAGATCCCTCCACCTGTGTCTTTGAACTCCTCTTTCCCTTACTGAAATAAGATAGTGCATGTAAGGTGTTTAGACCGGTATCTAGTCTAATTTCAAAGTGTACATTAAATGTTAGTGGCTATGAAATGGCTGTTGTTGTGGTTATCGTCATAGCTTTATGATTATAGTAGCTAGAGAATTAGAGAAGCCTCTGGAATCACCTGGCTGAAGGACTCAGGAGCCATTCAAATAATATTCAGTAAAAAGCCTGGACTGTAAGTAAATGGAGAAGATCTCAGGCTTGGGTGTAAATGAGGTCTTTGAGCCATGTCAGTTAGAACTGGAGACATGTTTCCTGACTTCTGCTATGTTTGGGAATTGGCATAGTGTGTGGTTAGAAGGGAAAGCCCTGGAGGTTGGACTTTGGGTTCATGTCCCAAGTCTACCATCAATTGTCTTTGTGACTTGGGCATATTTATTTAACTTCCTGGCGCCTTAGTTTTCCCGTTAGTAAAATGGGGAATATAACACACCAACATTACGTACTTGTTGTAAAGATTAAATGAGCTAATACAAACACAAGGTTTACAACTGCCTGGAATGTGCTCCTATTCTCCTTGCTCCAAAGTCATACCTACTCCACATTTCAGGTAATATATACGGATTTCTGTGTTCTTCAACACCCTCACCCAGCATAAAAGAGGATGATCAGAGTAACCTGAAACTAATCTTAAAGTACTTAAAATTTTGTCCCAGCTAGATTCCAGGTTAGTTTTCTCATATTAAAATAAGGAGGATGAGTAATTTCTCCATATATATTTAGTATCTCATTCTTCCCATCACTACATTCTAGCTATATTGATCTTTCTCCTTAAGCATAACTAGTCTATTTTTGCCTCTTGCCTTAGGGGCTTTGCACATGTAATTCCCTCTCTCTAAGAGACTCTTGGCTTAGATCTCTGCATATCTTACTCCTACACTTCATTCAGGTCTCTGTCCACTGGGCACCTGTTGGAGAAGCCTTCCCTGACCATTTTATCTAAAATAGACCTCATTCTCAGTCCTTTTTATTTTTTCTTCCTTTGCTTTATTTTATAGCTCTTAGCATGACCTGAAGTTATATATTTAATTATTAATCTATCTTTTGCTAAGATGCAGTACATGTGAGGACAGGGACTTTGAGTGCCTGCACCTGCCTAAGTTCTGAGCAGGACCCTGACTGACTTCCTTCTCTGTTGTAGGTGATACCTATTCCCAGAAGCAGCTGGTGGCTGACCCGGTAACCCTAAAGAGGAAATTGCTGACTGAGCTCGACCTCGGTGAGTGAGGCAAACTCTGGTCAAGCTTGGGCCAAGACAGAGAGTAACTAGTTTGGGGCTTATTTTTACCCTTACTATAGATAACTTGCAGGTGATTTCTGTTCCATGTCTAGGAGATTGGCATAGGCAGCCTCCTGTATTGGGAGGAAAAGTGAACTGGCTTTATTGGAGCCGTCATGAGATGGTTCGGGGTGATTATCAATGAATAAGGCAAAGCAGGCTCAACCCATATTGGCTTCTGCCAACTGCTTTGTGCTGAGAGGGGCGGGTGGGACCTGGCAGCTCCCACAAGCCCTCTTAACGTGACCTCATAGCTCTTAGAAACTTGCCTGATTTCAGTCTTGACTGTGCCCTACTAAACCCGTAGGTCAGCTTTAGAAAATTCTGTAGTTTTGTCAGTCCTGCAAAATGTGATCATGAACACAGTAGTAAAGGTGGAGTGATCGAGTGGAGCCGTGTGAAGGGGAAGTCAGGGGAGCTTAGAGGGAAGACAGCAGATGGTGAAACAGGAAGGGAAATCAGCACATTAAGAACCAATTGTGTCCTGACTTGTGTGGCTCAGTTGGTTGGGTGTCATACCACAAAGCAAGAGGTTCCTGGTTCAATTCCCAGTCAGGGTACATTCCTGGGTTGTTGCTGTTTGGTTCCAGGATGGGGTGTGTGTGAGAGGCAGTTGACCGATTTTGCTCTGACTTGCATTGATGTGTCTCTCCTTGTCTTCCTCCCTCTCTTCCCTTCTCTCTAAAAATAAATAAGTACAATTTTAAAAAACAAAAGAACCGATTGTGTCATGGATATTTATCTAGACAAAACCCCATTTTATAGGTGAGGGGATTGAGGCTTAGGAAGCTAAAGTAATTTGCTAGGGTTCACACCTGGGCAAAGCTGATGTTAGAACCTAGGCCAGTCTAACTGTAAATACCACTGTTCTCCCTAAGTTGGCAGGCTACCTGATTTTTCTTGCAAACTTCAAGAAGACAGACCCCCTCAGGGATTCAGAAAGGAGGTCTAGTTATTTGAGGGCCCAGCAGGACAGATAGGAGTTGAGGGGGGGTCCTTTCTGAGCAATGGCATTTCTAGTAAGTGGCCAAAAAATTAAAAGATAGGAAGAATCCTTCAAGCAGGCAGAGGCCCGAGCTAAATACAGAAGAAAACACCTGTAACACATTGGGTCCTGTAAACATTGGGGCCAGCACAGAAAGGAACCTGAGGAGCTGGGTTGGAGTTGGGAATCATGGGTTTTTATCTTCTGTCTTGATATCTGCCCTTGAACAATCTTCATTTTTCCTATTTGTAAAATTGGAGTGCTTCCCCACACCCCCACATGTCTATCATGTGTACACCAACCATGCAGGATATTGTAGAGAATCAAATGAAAATGCAAGCAAGTTGGAAAGCTTTATGAATTGTAAAGCAGCGTGACTGAGAGAGTGAGAAGAAAGCATTATAAGTATCCCTGACATCTCAGCCCCTGACCTATTTGTAATTCCATTCCCCAATAATAAAAAGGAGGATTTTCCTTTGAAAGTCTGCACTGTAAATCTTGTCCCATGCCCGTTTACTCTCCTCCTTCTACAGGCCCTTCCCAAAGCTCAGTCTTTTCACAAGGAAAGGGATTCTAGGGCACAGAGACAAAGCCAGGCAGCACTGGCAGCCATGATTTGCATCATGTTGGTTGCAGAGTGCAGGTTTAAATGCACTCACACAGCCTGGCTCCAAGGCCACTGCTGACACAGATATTAAAGCAGTTTTAGGAGCTCATCCCCAGCATGTGTTTACACTCACTGACTAATTCTGAGATGTTGCCTTGTTCCCTACTGTCATTTGAGAGGAGGAAGGCTATTCCTGTTTTGGCCCTAGGTTCCCTGCCCACCCCCTCTCCTACCCCTATTTGCTAGTGAAAAGACATTTGTGCATGTAGCCTTATATCTTATCAGAGGCCATGCTTTCCCACCATTTCTCCTTCACCCTTGGCCAGTGGCATAAGCTGCTCTCTTCACTTGTTATAACAGTGAACATTCTGCTTCCCTCTCTCTGCCTGAAGGTGCACAGAGGTGTCTGTCCTCTACCTGGTGCTCTCGGTTGGCCAGCCTTTCTTCCTACTCTGCATCTCCAAACGCTTGCTTGCCATCTCTTTGTGTTTGGTTAAAGTTTTATAGCTTCTGGATTTCCACGTCCTACATGGCAAGTTTGGATCTTACTGTTCTTGTAATAGCTGCCCTGTGAAGACGTTTCACTAGTAATTATTTTAAAATGTGAATGATGCCATGTAAAAGAAAAAGGATATAAAATACTGCTATCCATTATAGTAACTTATTTACCTAACATCCTCAATTTTTTAGAGTCCAACTAAAAAACAAAAGAAGCAAGTAATTTTCATCCTTAAGTCCTTGCACAGCACTCATTTATTTTTACTGTTACATGTTATTGTAATAATTTTAGCAATCTGGTTTCAAAACCCCCATAAAATTAAAAGCAGTATATAAAAAATCAGGGAGGAGCTGTTGTATTAACAGCAGCTAGAGGTGAGAGCTGAGAACTGACAGTAAGGGACAGGGAGTGAAAGAGGAATAATGAGAAAGAGAAGTTAAAATGAGTATGGAGGCCATTTAATTTAGGGGCAGTGGCCATACAGATATGCCTGCACTTCATTAAGGTGGGATTAGATAAGTGTTTTTTTAAGAGAGAGGAAGGGAGTGAGAGAGGCATCAACTGGTTGCCTCCTGTATGTGCCCAGACTGGAATTTGCACTGCCTAGGTATGGGCCCAGACTGGAAATTGAACCCACAACCCGTCTGTTATGGGATGATTGCTGCAACCAGCTGAGCCACATTGGCCAGCACTGAGGTTAGGTAATTTTAAAGGTAGTTTTAGGTTCCTCCTCTTTTTTAAAAAGATTTTATTTATTTATTTTTAGAGAGAGGGGAAGGGAAGGAGAAAGAGAGGGAGAGAAACATCAGTGTGTAGTTGCCTCTCATACACCCCCAGTTGGGGACCTGGCCCACAACCCAAGGCATGTGCCCTGACTGAGAATCAAACCAGCGACCCTTTGGTTCACAGGCCTGTGCTCAATCCACTGAGCTATACCAGCCAGGGTTTTAGGTTCCTCATGAAGGTCAGAAAATGTTAAGTACAGTGTCTACATTATTTGCTAGTGAATGCTGTATATATAAGTTGATTTTGTTTTCATAGCACCTTAGGAGTTAGGCGGTGATGTTTTCATTTTATAAATTACTGAAACTTAGAGAGAGACATAGTAGTCAGTGATTGGAAGAGCTAGGCTTAGAACCCAGAAGGATCTGGCTCCAGAAAACCAAGTTTTTCTATTGTCCTATGTTAGCTCTTTCCTTGTGACTTAAAATCCTGGTCCTTTTAAGCTTCTTGTGCTAGTGGTCCTTTCCCTTCACTCCCTTTTATTCATTCTCCTACATAATAATTTAAAGATTTTAAATTTTAATTTTAGAGAGGGGAGGGGAGGGAGAAAGAGAAAACAATGAGGCAAGAGCGACATGATTGGTTGCTTCTTGGTCATATATGCCCCACATACGCACCCCAACTGGGGATCAAACCCACAGCCCATGCATGTGCTCTTAATGGGAATCACACCAATAACCCTTAGCTTTGTGGAATGATGTCCAGCCAACTGAGCCACATTGTTCAGGGCTAAAATTTTCTTTTGAAGACATTCAGTGAGTATTGAGTGCTCGCCATGTGTCAGGCACAGTTTTATGTGTTTGAAATGTAGCAGAAAATGGCTCTCTTGTGCTTTACATTCTAGTTAAGGAAAACAGATAAATGAATACTATGAAGAAAAATAAAACAGGATAAGGGAATAGAGAGGGACTGTGCTGAAAGACGGCCTCTGTGAGAAAATAAAATCTGTGCAGAAATGTAGAGTAACTGAAGTAGGTAGTGAGCTATGTATACTGTTTATCTTGGGAAATAACATTCCAGGCATAGAGTTAAGCAAAGTTCAGAGGCCCTGAAACAGGAGTCTGCTTACTGTGTTGGAGGAACAAGAGGGGGTCAGTGTGGCTAGAGATGAAGGGTAACAGTGGAGTATGGAGAAATCACAAGGGTAGACGTGGATCCAGATCAAGTAGGGCTTTATTTTGAGTGAAATAGGAAGCTACTGCAGAGTTTTTGTAGAAAAATGATATAACCTGATATTCATTTAAAAAAAAAAATTCCCGCTTGGACTGGTGTGGTTTAGTTGGTTGGGCATCATCCCACAAAGTGGAAGATCTCTGGTGTGATTCCTAGTCAGGCGTGTATGAGAGGCAACTGATTGGAGTTCTCTCCCTCTTTTTCTCCCCTCCCTTCTCTCTTTCTAAAAATAAGTAAATAAACCTATTTAAAAAATCCCTCTGCCTGATTGCACTGGCTAGGACCTCCAGTACAATGTTGAATATAATTGAAAAGAGACACTCTGACCTTGTTCCCAATTTTAGAGAAAAATACTTCATCTTTTCCCATTAAGTATGGTGTTAGCCTACAGCATTTTGTAGATGACGTGTATCAGACTAACTTCCCTTTTATTCCCAGTTTATTGAGAGGTGTTATTATGGATGGATGTTGGATTTTTTTGATTGTGTGGTTTTTCTCCTTTTATTCTACTAACATGGCAATACATTGACTTTTAGATATTAAACCAAGCTTATATTCCTAGAATAAATCCGTCTTAGTCATAGTGTATAGTCCTTTTTATTTTTATATGGTGTTGGACTTAGTTTGCTAATATTTTGTTGCAGATTTTCATCTATTCATAAAGGGATATTGGTCAGTAGCTTTCTCTTAATTACTAATTCAATATTTTTTCACTTGTTTTAGGTGTACTTAGATTTTCTGTTTCATTTTGAGTTACTTTTGATAATTTGTATCTTTGTAGGAATTTGTCCATTTCGTCTACATTGTCTAATTTCTTGGCTTAAAGTTGTTTGCAGTATTTCCTTATAATCCTTTTAACTTCCTCTAGAGTCATTAGTGATATACCCTTTTCA